ACATATAAAGTATATTTACATACCGTACATTATATATTTTCGTATTTATCGTAGGCAAGACGTAAAATGGATCTTAACGAAATGGGCTACGAGAATCGCTACCGTATACGCTACGGGTTCTTACGTATATACGAATTACTATTACAGAAATTCTCTAAAGATTGTGTTCGATGGCGTTTGTAGATCCCCATAAGTATGGAGGGTAATCGTCAAGCAGTTGTTCGTTTCAACGTGTACATTGTACAAACGTGTTGTTGTAAGTAACGTTCAAAGCTTTTTTTTCACGTGCTTGCGATGACACCCACATGGATTTCGATGCAACTCGTTTAGCGTTCCTACTATACGTATGTATAGACGCATGCACGCACGCATGCACACGCTGCTATATGTATTTGCGCGCGTATATACATACTTTTCGTACAAAGCTTAGACCACCAATCTATATGGACATTCACCTTTCTCCTCGTGTGCTAATCAATCTGCTTCCTACGCTCTCAATTATGTAACTTGGTATTACGAATCTATAGAAAATTTCAAATGCGCGATCATTCGTTTAATATTTTATTTCTAAATGAACAATTTCTCTCTAATGTGAGTAAGACATAATTATAAAGATGACATATCATTAATTTTCTTTTATAATGCAATTATCCTTGTCTATATGGTATTACTACAGTGTTGGTCTGACAAAAAACGAAGGCCAGACTCGTTTACATTATTTATGTTGGCTACGACGGTATGTAGATATATAGTATAATAGTTAATATAAAAATTGTACAAAGAGAGAAGGAGGAAGGGAGGAAGAAATTGGAAAAGAGGAAAAGAAAGAAGAAAACCATGAAGAATCGAAAGAGAAGGGAGAGAGAGGGAGAGAGAGAGAGAGAGAGAGAGAGAGAGAGAGAGAGAGAGAGGGAGAGAGAAGGGCGCCGGACGAGAAACGATTCGACTCCGTTCGACTTTACTCGGCGGCTACCAAGACGATTCGAGTTGACTCGAGTCGACTGTACACACAAGTTACCTTCGCTCACCTGAGAGTGACTACGGTAAAGGAGTGCGCCGGTAGTGGGAGGGTAAAGCCAACGCTGGCTCTCGACATCAGGAGGAAACTTCAGTATGCATTCGAGTCGTGCACCAACGAGCCCGCGAGTCCACGTACTTTCTTATTCATTTTTCATTTCCTTTTTATATTTGGATATTTGTTTTTATTTCCTTTTCGAGATTTAACAAGTTGTGTCTCATCGACAGAACCGACAAAATTAATCGAAAACTAATTTAACTTTCAAGTGTTAACAACAATATTTCTTGTGGATCAAAGAATCTCATTGAAATAAAGAAGAAACAAGAAGACAACTATAGTTATATATACTGTTACGTTTCAATTAATAGAAACATTAGTTTTTTAATGGAATGAAGAATGCAATCATGAGTTGTTAACGTCGCCGACGTCGTTTGACATTTCTTAAGAGAATTGTGGAAAGCGTACCATTCTCTCTTTGTCTTATAATCGAACACACAGATATTTTTATATTATTATTATTTGTTTCTTCAACAAAAATGAAAGATAATATTCGACAACGAATTTGTTGAGTACTTTTTAGTTTAGCAAGGCGAAGAGTAAGAGAGAGTGAGAGAGAGAGAGAGAGAGAGAGAGAGAGAGAGAGTGTGTGTGAGAGAGAGAGAGAGAGGAAGGGAAAGAGGGAGGGAGGGAGGAAGGGAGAGAGAAACTAAAGACACCGAGAACATCAAGTTTCAAACAACATAGTGTCGGCGTGCTATTCAGCTAATGTCGGTTTGTCTGGCTATCTTATTGGTGACACAAGTTTGCTCTAAGAGTTGTGATGAAACGAGGAATTTGAAATACGCGCGGGAGAATCTAGCGATCGATCGCCTTTTTTTTGCAGTGTCAAAATGACCAAAGGTAAGAGGACTTATCATTTGTTTTCCTTCGAGACGCGGAATATACGACATTTTTGGATAAATCTCGAATAAAATCTTTCGTATCGAATTTCATAAAACGCATACTACCAATAATGAACTTTAGTCTTGCCAGCTCGGTTAACCTCGATCCATGCATCTTCATTATTTCAATATTTTTTTTATTGCGATTTTATTTTTACTTCTAGGCAAACAATTTGATTCCAATTGAAACTTTTCTTATTAGCTGCTTGTATTATTGATTGTGAATCTTATAAGAGCTTTATCAATTGCCGTCGGCCAATAGTTATTAGCTCCTATTTTAAATAAGAGTTTCATCCGACAACTCGACAATTGACAACCCGTTTCTTTCAATCTTTGTTTTCTTTTTTTCCTGAAGTAATTTGTACCCTATTGATTGGAAATTGAATAAAAGTTCGTTTGAAATCTGAGAAAGGATAGATAATCTTCATTTTGTGTTCAATATTTTCGGATAAATAAAAAAGAAAAAGGTTATTATTGTAAGTGTAAACAATTTTTGGAACAAAGCATTTTTAACGAGCAAATATTATTTTTATTCATGCGCGACGTTAAACTGTTGAATAAAATTCAAGCAAATATTCAATTACAACATATTCTATTCATTTTACTACAATATTTGCAACAATGACACCAATTTCATGAATAATTCATGAAGAATTCTTAAGAAAATGTAGGCTATTTATTGAAAATGGAACACATTGATTAAAGTAAAAGTGTAAGCATAAATGAAAAAATATATTCCTTATAGAAATTCGCGCGACAGAGATAATCAATAATAAACTATTCAATTTCCTAATAATGTATACAATTCAAAAGAAACGTGTTTATATAAATACAAAATGTCTTCTTTCTCTTTCGATTACCGAATTATCGAATACTTGATCGAAACACATTCATCACACAGAGGAGATTTGAATCGAGCATTCTCATGAACGGTTGCTACGTTTACGATGTCAAAACGTAATCTAGAAGACAAAAGCGATACCAGATGAATGTTCATCTTTGAAGACGATTCCTCGTTTACTTAAATCGATATTAGATTAATAATTCGTGTTGCTCCAGACGATAAACTGGACTTTGTTCCATTTTGTTGTCGAGTCATCGACGCCTTTGCTTTAACTACTTTGAATATTTTTTCATAAAAACAGAGAAGTATTAGCGAGTTAATCATTTATTGTTAATATATAATGATTGATTAGAATTTTTAATGAATTCCTTAGTTCTTTTAATACAAAATATTGTAGCTTAAATGAATCTATTCGAATTCGAAAATATTTTGGATAAAACAAAGTTGTCAGCTAATTTACTATCAATTATTAATAATATTTTGTAGCGATTTTCTAGCGATCTTGACGTTACTAATGGCGATGATTTCTCTAGAAAACACGTAGGGAGAGAGAGATCGCAATAGGTCATGAATTTTTTGCTAAACGATTCGTCGAGGTTCGCGAGTCGACACGCGCCGATCCTACGAAATGGTCTATCCGTCTATCTATCTTTCTCATTCTCTATCTCCGTTTACATTTTCAACAGGACGGATCGATCGTGGTATGAAATCGGTAATGAGCTGTAAATTCATGGGGCTAGGAGCTTGTGTGCACGGTCGTCGTCTAGCTTGAGCCAGAGAACTCGTCGAATAGCCACTAACATAATAAGATAGAAGCAAAATCAGAGGAAGCGAAGGATAACAAGCTAATACTATTCTTTCTTTCTCTTCCTATATCTTGTTCTTTTAATCTTCTCCCTCTCTCTCTCTCTCTCTCTCTCTCTCTCTCTCTCTCTCTCTCTCTTTCTCTGAAACTTATTTATTGAATTATTTCTCTGTTTTTTTTTTTCTATTATTCCATCTCTTATACAAAGAGACATACATAGGACGTAAGTTGCTTTCCACTTTACTTGGAACCACGACATGCGCGTGTGGGCGAGTACTGGCAAGAGGATACTTGAAAGGAAGAGAGAGAAAGAGGGAAATGGTAGGCGGGAAAGGATATTTTTCGAAAATCCATCGCTTCGGTGGAAGCTTTGGTGGAAGGTTCGTTAACGTCGCTTCTACGGACTCGCTCTCGATCGTACCAAAGATTTCTTTTAACGATTCCTTCCTGATAACAAGATACGTTGCTTTTGTCTCAGAAAGAGGAGAGCCAATTGTTGCAATTTTATTGGAATATCATATTTAATCCTTCGTCAACTTTCCAATGAGAATCCATTCATTTTGTCTATTAAAATTCTTAACAAATAATAAGGATTTAATCAAGATTGTAAGTACTAATCACGTCGAAAAGTACGAACAGAATTCTTCCTGGTTCTTTAAGATAATTAATAGTAGGATCGTATAAAAAAACGAGAGAGAGAAAGACGAAAAAAAATATCAAAGCAATAATTGAAATAATTTGTTGTTTTTCGCGATAACATTAACACTTATGTGGATAGACGAGGCTCTTTGTCGCGTAGCTTAGCATCGACATTCCACACTTTCATTGTACACTTTCATTGTACACTTTCATGCCACACCGCCGCCATCCTTGTAACGACACGCGCCAACCGATGCAACAAATATCGCCTATCGATCTGGCATTATGATTATTATTGCGTTATGTCTTATCGACGATTGAGACCTCCGTTAACGATCGCGAGCTTGAATTCCTTCCAAATGTTTCCAGTTAAATAATACTAACATTTTTCCGTTATAAGATTGAATTAAGACAGACGAGTAATCAACGATTCACTTTTACAATTATCCAAGCACCTAGATTTTAATTAAATATAAGGCTTATAGAATTGTCATCAAATTGAACAAAATCAAAAATAAATCCGGATGAGTCGTCACGTTTACTTAATCTGTGTGTGTGTGTGTGGACGACGATTATAATATTATTAAAAATTTCGTTTAGTCGACCTCGATTCGAACGTTAAATGAATCATTTGAAAGCGTGCCACGATAACTTCTCCGGTGTAAGTCGAGCGTGATTCCGCTTAACAAAGGGTGGGCCTAATCGTTCGTGCTTGCTAAACCAAAATCTTTTCTCCAAGTATTTTTTCTTATTAATGCTATTAACGAAAAAAAGAAAAGATTTTTTAGCATGTGTGTGTGTGTGTGTGTTTGTCAATGTTTGTATTATATAATAAGTTAATTTTGTTGGGTGTTTTTGCGCCCCCGCAGCCGCCGGGGGCGCAAAGAAGAAAAACGTGGACGAAAACGTCATTGAAAATTATTCAAGTCACGTTCGCGCTATATATAGATCCGCCATCAACGTCCGGCATACTCGGGCTCCAACAGCATTCTCCCTCTCGCTACTTCATCCTCCTATTTCTCTCTATCGAGATCGAAGATCTCATTTAGTTAGAAAGAAAATTGTTATCGCGGCACGAGCCGTCGTCGCTCGCTATGACGCAACCCTGACGTTTTGTGTTTTCCCGCGTTCCACGAATAGCGACACCTGCTTGGAAATAATGACCGTTCGATCTAACAGGATGCAACATTCTTTTTCTCTCCTCATCATTATTTATTTTCACAATAAATTGCTCTCAGTCCATTCTCAAACTCATCCAGAAAGAAGAAGAATTTTTTCGACATTTTTTATTTATTTCGACACATTTCAATTACCCTATCCCATAGGATTTGCAATGATCAATGTTTACTTTGAAAATACTAATATATATATATATATATATATATATATATAGGAGCTAAACTAATATAATTATTAAATATTAAAGTTTTTCTTTTTTCGATATTTTGTACAGTTCGAGGACTACCAATGTAATCGTCATTCAAAGAAGAAATTCGATCTAAATAAACAAGAAAGAAGATCGGTGTATCGACAAATAGTCGAATGAAAACAGTGTCGCGAGTGTTATTTTAACATTACAATTAAAATAAGGAAAAACAGAATAAGAAGAGTAAAAGGAGTAAAAGAGAAAGAAGGGGTGGGCGGGGCAACGAGAAGGAAGATTAAAAAAGGGAAGAAAGTGGAAGTGAGTTAAGTAAGTAATGTGAAATGGATGATAAGCCAAGAACAATCAAAACAGTTCTAATATATGGATGCCCATGGGTGGAATTTGGCCGAAATGTGCCAACGCTACCATCACGGTATATCAACGGCTCAAAGTTCTTCGCCAGCTAGGGATCCTTCGGCTGCCATTGTGCAGCCATTGTCGACCCCCTCGCATATCGAGCAGGTTAACAACCCATCTTATTCTCATTACACGTAAGTATTTATTATTTTACATATTTTTCCTTACAGAACGCATCACGAGTTTCTACACGACGAGATTATAGAAGGCTCTGGTGTCTCTTGTGGCGTGCGTGTGTGCGTATCTGCGTGTCTGCGTACCTGCGTGTACGTGTATGTACCTATTAACTAACCCTAAGAATAATAGAAAATATACTTGTGTGTTTCAAAATAATTATTAATTAATCAAAGGGGAAATGTGTATATTATAGTTTAAAAACATTGAGTATATGTTCGGTGCACCGTCCTCCTCGAAATCCACCGTTAGACTGACACGTTGTCCTCTGTTAAAGTTCTTTTATTCAATGTTGTTTATATGAATTTTCTTTTTAGGAAATAATTCCTATTTATTACCAATTGTTGGAGATACTAATTCGTATTTATTTATTGAAGAAACCAAAAGTAATACTCTATATTGTATTATGTGAAATAAGGTGAAAAGAAAAAATATGTTGGAATAAGTATGGTTCGTTACAAAGCGACAGAAATAAAAGAATAGAAGGGACAAACCCCCCACCCCCTAGTGTATATATAAATGAATTGATTATTTTCCTCGCACATTCTTTTTTTCTCTTTGGAATTTTGGTCGAGAAATGAAAAGCCACGCGTGGCTGCCACCACGCTGTTGAAAATGAAAGAAAGGATGGATTGGGTAGATAGCGACGGAGAGGGAGAGGGAGAGGGAGAGGGAGAGGGTGATGGTGAGGGTCTGGGAGAGAGAGAGGGAGAGGGAAAGAGAAAGACGGTCTTATCGCCTCCCGCGAGGAACGCATCGAAATTGTATTGTGTATATTAATAACGATACGGCGAATTAGGGATAAGTATACGATTCCTTAGGTTCGGGCAACGTTTATCCTGTTATTAGCTCGGCGATTAGGGTAAGATGAACCCCGGGCAAATTGCGGAGGCGTAGACATCGCGGTGTTTGCTTAACGTAATCGCCAATCGCTATCCTTCTCGAGTAAGAAGGCACGAGTGGTATACGCGAATAAGGAGATTATAATATGCGTTGCTCTCTCGCTTATTCCTGTAACCCTTTTATATCTTATCCCTTTTTTCTTCTTTTTTCCTTTTCTTCTTGGAATACCTTCCCTCTCTAGTTTTTACTTATATTTTCTATTATTTATTTCTTATTTTGCTCCCTGTATTTTCCTTTCTCTCTCTTTCTCATTTCAACCTATTTCTATTCGAACTCAAATTCAATGTTGTTTCGTTTGTTATTACCTGTGTCAGACGAAGACGATAAAAGTTTCGTTCGTAAAAAAAAAGAGAAAGAAAATAAAGAGGGATGAGAGAGAGAGAGAGAGAGGGATAAAAGAGATGACACCTCTTGCAAGCAAGTGCGAGGAAGCGAGAAAATGACGTGTGGGACGCGCTTTTATGCTTTATGTCCTATGATTTATGCTACTCTCGTATGCTCCAATGTTCCGTGTATTTCTTCGTGCGTTGATAGCGCGGGTCTCTTTGACTCTCGTGTCTTCTCTCTCTCTCTCTCTCTCTCTCTCTCTCTCTCTCTCTCTCTCTCTATCTCTCTCTCTCTCTCTCTCTCTCTATCTCTCTCTCTCTCTCTCTCTCTTTCCCTATCTCTGATTCACTCACTTTACGTCTTTATCGTCTCTTCTCTTGTTGCATACTTTTTTCTATTATATTTTTAATTTCCTATCCACAGAATCTTTTTGATGACGTTTCTTCTAGCTACTGTTGTGTTTATGATTTTATGATTAATTAGCTTTTCCTTTCTTGCATTTCTCAAATGTTCTTTTTTATCTAATCTCGAGATATAGAGTTTCTCTATCGTAATTTAAGGAATAATTTATGATTTAAGGATCCCTTCGAAAACTATAAAAACGACAATAAAATAAACGCGAACAATGAATGCTCACTCGATAAAAATGATTATTTTGATGAAGTAAGTACTCGGTTGACCCTCCCTTACATCTTAGAATATTTTGGAGAAAATTGATTATTTCACAAATTAGCCAAATATATAGGTATTCAATAGAAAAAAAAATTTGTATATATTTTATATTATATATAAAAGACTTTTGTCTCGATATTTCTTGGATTTCCCCTTTCGTGACAGATCGTGGTAATTTGTCCTTGATAACAATGCAAAAATTCGATCTTTGAATAATTTTGCATTTTCTTTCTTTTTTTCTCTTCCTTTTGTTTATTAATAATTTTTGTTGCTTACAATTAGACGGATCGAAATAGTTGTACTACTCATGGTAAATAGGCCTGTCGTTAGGCGACTCTAACGTTTATTACGTTATTCAAGGATATATCTATAATTATGTAAAATCAAATAGATAGAAGATATAGTGATTGGTCTGTTGAGACGTATGACATGTAATTTCTAAACACGAATCTATTCGTCGTCGCGCATCTTACGTTATAGCGAAGACTTTGACACGCCAAAGTATTTTAGAGAGCCATTAATATTAATATACGTACGTGTGTGCGATTGATTTATAACGAGTAAAGTTTATTGTTGAAAATTCATCTTATTTGATCGTATATATTTGATGAATGTACATTTTCATTGATCAAGAAAAAAGATGGAAATATTATTATTAATAAATATAGACAAATGTTAAATGTATGGACGCGTGTGTGTGATTTACAATAGCGTGGAAAGATCGTGCGGACGAAAATCATGTTCATTAAAATCGTTCCATGTGGTTCCATTCAATGATTCTTGTCCGTCGCATGGATCGCGGAGTCTTCGTCACGATATTTAAGTCTTACACGCAGCTTACGTACATACTATATGTATAGCATATACACATGTGCATATGCATTTACATATGTAAGTATGTATGTATAATAAATATCTAACAATAAGTACATCAGATTCGTCGAAGGATGAACACGTTTTTCCACGCGAGTCATTTCTTCTGGGAAAATCTTTCGATCGAAAAAAAAGAAGAAGAAGAAGGAGAAGAAGAAGATTACTATAGTATTTTCCGTCATAATATTTTCCGTCATAATATTTTCCGATAGGATATACATTTGTAATATTTTCATATTTAAAATTAGCTGTTATTACGGAAACATACAAATCCAAACGAGTTTGGTCTCCTCGAGTCCTTTCTTCAGCCATTTTGGCTCGCATGTAATTCACATGTTCAATGAAAAAAGAATTCCAAAAAAATATAAAATAAAAAACAAATTCATCGACGTCCTATTAAGTTTCTTGGCTATGATTTGGTTTAGCGACTCGATGAACGATGACTGTTGGTGGGAGAGAGGGTTATTTTGTTTTATTGTTAGATTAACGGTTTCATTCCAGTTCATAACTCATGCATGGATATACATTGTATACGACACCGATCACGCGAGCCAAGCATTTAGTACAAATTAATATTGTAACAAGTTAGTATAATAAATAAAAGTTTCATTGAGTCGTTCATTTGAATAACATAATTTGTTTGTCGCGAAGCTATTATAATAAGAATAAAAATAGAAATAATACATTTCACGAAGGAAGATTTCTGATGATTTGGGATGATACGTGTAAAGTTCTAACTATTACTACTTATGACCTTCATACTTATATATTTCCCGATAGCGACGCTCACGAACGTTGTAAAATGTGAAAATCATTATGATGCGATGATTAACTTCTACCAGCTAGATCGTGCTAGGAATGTTTATTTCAATACGATAGATCAAGTTTCATTATTATTTTATTACATTCAATTTCATTGCATTGAATTATTTAACTTATTTCAGCTTTATGATTATTTTTTGGTATTATTTCATTTGAATTGTATATTGTGGAGAAAATAATAGAGAAGAAGTTGTTTCAATCCTATTGCTTGTTCACAATATGGGATTGAAGAACTACTTTACTGCTAGTGTGTATTTTTGTAGATTTTTATATAGGAATTTAAATACTAGGACTTGTTTTACATATAGTCTTAACAAATGTTTAACTTAAAGTTCTCATTTATTCTCTCCCTCTCCATCTACTTATCTATATCTCTTGATCTCATTCTCTCTTATGCGAGCACTGACGCGTATCGTCAAACGCAAGAAACGTTCGATCTTTCTCGGACGAGCGCAGGAAGTCGTACGTAATGGTTCTACGGGTTGAGGTCAGAGGATGAGAGAGGTGTATATAAGCTGTACATAAGCTGTACATAAGCTGTATATAAGGTATATATAAGGAGTATACCATACGATACGATACCTATATATATATATCTATATATACGCCATGAACGTTCAGCAACGTCCGTTCCACAGCTTAAGTCCGTAAAGGTTTCGGGGATGCGCTTTCTTCGTTCTCAAATCTGAAACGCGCCGGAGCGTTAGTAGTGCAGAGGTGAGCGCCTGAGGTCGTCACTTCCGGTTACCAAGTGAACCGCATTGGTCATTCGATTTAAAAGTTTAATCAGAAGACTATACAATTTCTTTTCCTTTTCCTTTTCCTTTTTCTTGTTCTTTTTCTTCTTATTTTATTCGCTTGTTTTTCCTTTGCTGCATTCCTCTTTGCTCTCTCGTCGTCTCTCTTCGCTTATGTATATCCATCATATAGGTATATTGTTTTATTTGAAATATATATACGCGAAGAAAGTTTTATAAGAAAGATAAAAGGCAAACAAAGGCAACGTTCGACAAAGTGGACGACACACTTGTTCCTTCGAGAAAATTATTCCTCTCAGTCGCGAGCCTTTAAAAAGAGGCAGAGAAAGCTTCTTTCGAACGGCGGAGGCCTGATAGCTGACGCAGTCTTAGCGCATTTTATTCAAATAATCGCGAACGATCGAACACACCCTTGTGCATTGCTCGACGTCGAAACAGCATGAAGGTGTACACACATGTTTGTACGTACGTATGCATATACGTATGCATATACGTATGCGTATCTAACAATGTACCTTTTCACGAACACGTGGATAACCGATCAAGTATAACTCGTGCGTGGCGCCGTGTGCCAACGGTACGTGGCAGATACGCGACAAACAGAGAGAGCTAACCATTTTCATCAATTTGTATTTATTTATTAGTTTTATATAAATATAGAAATGTCAGACACGAATGAAAATTCTGTTCATAATTTGATATTACGCACACGTACGTAGGCACGTGCAAATCAGGAGGCGAAGAGACAGAGAGGAAGATACATAACGGAAAGAAAGATCCAATCGATCTAACGGATCACCGTTGAATGCGAATAACACGAATTCGTCAAACGAATTTCCGTCCTTCGTCCGAGGGACGCCTTCGTACGCGGAACAAACGATTGAAATTTTAGAAAGGCATTCTACTATCGTTGCCAGTTAAATAAGATACGTGCCAAATACGATAATGATGTCAAATACAATGAGCCATTTGCATGCTCCTAATAAATGAATTCAATCGGTTGCTGCATCGTAGCGCAATGATCGTCGTCGATTCGTACGCCGAGAATCGTTCGTTCAACCTTCATTTCTTAATGCTCAAATGCTCAATTTTTGCTTTCAATTATATATTTTTCAAGGGATTCAAACAAATTTATATGTGTATTTAATAGTATTTCTTCTTGATTCGAGATGAAAAAATATTAATAGAGAAGATTACTAAGGATAACGAGCTCGTCGACAAGACTCCTCGTATATGTATAGGTAAGTGTATACATGTACATAAAGATAGATAGATGGATGGATAGATGGATGGATAGATAGATGGATAGATAGATAGATAGATGGATAAATGAAGAATGAGAAAAACGTATCCTGCGTCGAGTTGGCCAACAGGATTCCCCGGGATTCGCTCTCGGCGCAGCTGTGCCACCACCCACGCTTATGATAGATACGCCACTGCCTTCAGCATTGTTTCTTTAATGATTCATGTGGGGTGATTGCACCGAAGGAGAGAGGGGGAGAGGGGGAGAGGTAGAGAGGGAAAGAGAGAGAGAGAGAGAGAGAGAGAGAGAGAGAGAGAGAGAGAGGACGAAAGCTTAAAGGAAGCAGTTTCCAACTGGAAATGCAATGAGCCTCGCTCGTATCGAAAATATTAATATGACGCCATTGAAAGTAGGATGGGGGCATTCTAAGGCTAGGGCAGAGGAGAAGGTATCAAGATTCCAAGCAGCCGGTGCCGTCTTCAAAGTCCTTTACCGTTTCTGAAAGACGAGTCCTTTGCGTTTAGCCTTGTTCGAGAACAATGAAAAAGGTTATTAAACGGTTAATTGGAATTTCTTTATAATTTTTGCATTTCCTTCATTTCATTCTTCCCTATGCGCGCACACACACACACACATATATATCTGTTGTCGCGTATCTAATATGAATATTATCTTGCTAAAATTTCCTTCTAAAAAACTCGCCAAAATCCCCGAGAAAAAGTGTAAAAAGTTGCTAGCATTTATTTTAAATCGTTGAACACCTTCGTGTTTGTTTCCTACTAACACCCCGAGATCGATAAAAGAGAGACAAGATTTCCTACATAAGAAAGAGAATGGATGTCGAGCGGGATGGAAGATAGCAAAAAGCGGTGTAATAGCTGGCGACTTTATTGAATGAAAATGCCAGAACGTTTTTGTGCGTCCAGATCAACATCTCGCGGTCCGAATGAAACAATGGCCATTACGTGGAATGTGTTTACGCGTGTGTACACATACGTACACGCGTATAGGATACATTTATACTTTACTTCTGTGAAAGAAAATAGAAATCAATTTAATTGTCTATAGTCTATATGTAGATACTGGAGGGTGTTTCATTGAACTTGAATATTCGAAATATAATATCTTTTGTATTACAATTTGTGCCGTTAGAACTTATAAAAATACGAGCAAATCTAATTTAATTAGATGTTAGATGTCCTTTAAAGATATCACAATGAAAAGGAAGAAGAACGAGTTGTGCAAGAAAAACATTCGATCGATTAGTATTACGAGTAGGAAGAAGATCATGGAAGTAATCAACTTCCTCATCTCTCTCTTTCTTTTTTTTGAAGAAGGATAAAAAAAAACACGAGAACGAGAACGAGAGAGAAAAAGAAAAGGAAAAAGAAAAAGAAAAGGAAAAAATCCCGTGGGTTTCGAGATCGGCGACCGTCGATTGATCTGTCAAGCCTGTTAGTAAAAGAGTTGATCGACATGAATGAACCATTCAAGGGCACTACATGGAATTCCCACGATTGTCTTTTAGAACCTAATAGCAATGTGCTTGGATCAGACACACGAAGAAAAAAAGTAGAAAATGCATTGACACATATGCGTAGATGCATATGTACCTCTATATATAAATATCTCTTGTATTACTTATTAGTTATAAACATTTGATTGATGACCGATCGCTCTTTAATCTTTTTATCGTAAGGATTAGTATAGGATAGTATGCGTCCATAGTGTTTAAGCGTGTTCATCATGTATGCGTATTAGTGAAAAGATGGCAAGGAAATATTATAGTTTCCAATTGAATTGTCGCGAAGGTGTCCACCATCGGTTCCATAAGATAGTAGATAAGCAAACGATCAGGAATAGTTTTTCCTTTGTCGAGCAAGCAAAGTCGTTGATTGACTGCATGGAATATACATATTATATATACATATATACATATGCACATATTCATTGACTTACATTATTCCTCGAGACTCTGAATCTTACAATTGGATAAAATGTTGTAGCAAAAGGAAAAAGCTTCGGTTGGTTCATAGATGAATAGATAGAGGGGCGATGATCGGTAATAATTTGAAAAGATATAGTACGTGATAGAGGAAACCTCGAAGAAAGGTTTTTCTTTCTTTCTAACACGTGGGATAATGGCAAAATTGAAATATAACGTTCTCGATTTACAGGATGCTGGATAATTATGACAGGGGTGAGGTGACACCACCGCCGGTTAGCAGTTATGGCGGCTCCCCGGGACTCTTGGCACTTCATTCTTCGCTTTATGCTACACCCACGCCTAGAACCTACGACATCGACTCCAATATCGATACAAACGATGCATCCATGCCAATCGATACCCAAATCATCTCGGTATGTTACTACAATCTACTATTTCTCTTCTTACTTTTCAAATTACACTTAACGTCACTTATACATTACACTTTATACATTACACTTATACATTACGATAATATTTTCTCAACGAAATATTTATATTTTTCTTATTTCGGTCTACTGGCTAGGACCAAATTTACTATGTAACTTAATAAATCAATTGTAATTATTTGAAAAAATCATTAAAATGATATTTGCATCTTTTGATTTTAAGCCGCACGTAGTTTGAAACTACAAACTACAAACTACTTCTAGCTTTGCACTCTAATCATATCTCGAAAATCTTTCGAAAAGGAGATAGTCATTTTGAAAATGATCTAAGAATTTGCCCGCCACTCGGTAATAGAATAAATAGCGTTGGGGGGCTCAAATTTGTCTTATGTATAGTTTCATTTGGACGATTATTGTTTCTGCTTTTTGGAATAATTCAATTGTTTGTTAGTTTAGTTTACTTTCGGGATCTGTTCTGTTCTCTTCTATTTTGTCTCGTTTCGTTGTTCTTCTCTTACACATTACTGATCAATTAATATCGATATTTATAGATCCCAGGAATGTTAAGCGGGCCAGGTCAACAGCGTTTGGAAGATATGTCCTGGTTAGCATCAGGACCATCCTTGGACTACCAGCAAGGCATTTCACCGATTCCCACAGGAGTGAAGATGTGCCATCCTGGCAGTACCGCGCAACGTAGCCTGAAGGAACAACGGATACGTCGTCCGATGAACGCCTTCATGGTCTGGGCAAAGGTCGAGCGCAAGAAATTGGCCGACGAGAATCCTGATCTCCACAACGCCGATCTAAGCAAGATGCTTGGTAAGTCAGCACACTCGATCGTTTATCTAATAAATCTTACAGATCAATCGATTACCCGCTTTATCGGGATCTTCAATGAAAATTATCTATATATGTACGACTATTTTTATTTTATTCTTTATTCATTTTTCCACTTTTTTTTCTTATCCTTTGTATTATTCCTCTCCCTGTTATCCTGTTATAATGATTTTTCGCGATTTGAGGTTTCCGATCATCGTCTCGATTGCAAAATGACAATTTTTCCAATGAATCTTGCATAAATGCTCGAAAAAGATTGAACTCACGGTTACCGATTAACTCTAATTTATTTTATATTATTTATATTATTATGCATTTTCCCAATGTTTATTCATTATCAACTACACTATATATAATATATATATAAGTAATTATACGCTGACTTTTTCAATGTGCAGTCGGGAAAGGAGATAATAGAAATAAGTGAAATCAACGGAGGCCATTCCTCGATTATGTGTCGTCTCTCCTCGAGAAAATCACAAGCCAGAAGAAAATATTTTTTTCTTTTGACACACACACACGAGTGAGAAGATTGCTGGGAATGAGAAAGTCGGAAAACCTTTCCTACGCACTACGCGCGACCGAATTGTATTTTTTTTTTTTCAAGGGATTCGCACAAGAATGGACGCGCTTGTTTCAATTAATATTTATTTTATAACGATTGTGTAAAATCCATTTCTCGTTGCAGGAAATTGAACAAAAAGTTGTTGCCAGTAATTAGCTAATATATAATACGTTAAACTATAATTAGTTTAAAATTACATTCTCTTGTGTTAGTTAGTACGCTCGTGTGCATAATTGAGCGAGAGAACGCGCATCTGCAAGCGTGTAAGGAAACAAAGTGTTAGCGCGTGCGTTTAAAATGGGCGCGGGTTATATACGCGATCGAGAGAGTTTACAATTTTGTGCAGGAGGGCCGCCTTCTCGTTCGAATGCCAATAACGCCTTGTTTGGCAATTGTCGATAATTCAAGGTGTACGCGCGCGCGCGTCTACAGCGTGGCACGTACTTTTTAAAGGGGTCTCTACAAAATCCAACTCTTTGTTTTCGAAATTATTTTTCATTTTTATCGTTTACACACCTCTAGAGATAACGTTAGTAAAACCGTATTAGTTTATATTCGATCGCGTCGCCAAGGGGTTTATCGATCGAACATTAAGCGATTGCCGCGATGTTATTGCCATGACGCGCGGCCATCGTCATTATTATGCGCGCCGTGATCGACGTCGGCTCCCCCACCCCTCCCCCACACCCCACAGCAAGCCTTTTTTCCAGACGTCCTTACATATTCATGCGCGTGCTATGTGTCTGTCTCTCGATGGTCCCTAATCTTGCATAAGAGGGATAGATGGTCGAGAGGGAGAGAGAAAGGGAAAGGGAACATTCTTCACAAGAGACGACATATGCCTCCCCCCCTCTCCCCCCGACTCCTTAAGGCTGTTTTCTTCTCTTCTTTTTCTATTCTTACCAAGATAAGAATATGATGAATAAAAAGAGAGGACCGATGCACGCGCGCTTACGTACGTTACGTTTCGCGTCGACGATGTCCGTGTGTGGGCCTCGTATCCGGCAACGCGCGTGCCTGCGCATCTTTATTGGTTTTCTTTCTTTATTGGTTTTCTCTCTTTCCTCCCCATCCTGTTCATCATCCTTTTCGTCTCACCGCTTTGGGCCCGTATATCAACATTGGAAATTGACGCGTTCACGCTTACCACCATCCACATCCACATGATATTTTCATTATAGTAAAGCACATACGTATACATACATATATATATATATATATATATATATATATATATATATATATATAATATGTATACTTATATAAACAAGAAGAAATGTAATTTTGGAAATGAACCTAAAGTGTTTGGAAGGAAAGAAACGGAAGAAAATAAATGAAATGGAAAAGAAAAATAGTCGCTTCGAAGGTGGACGGACGGGTGGACGGACGGGTAGACGGACGGGTGGGTGGACGGACGGGCGGGCGTTTCGGTCGGTCGGTCGCTCGTTGAACGCGCCATAAAGCAAGGAAATGTGCATAATGCAAAAAATGTGCTCGCATCTACGAGCAGTCGTTCGAACGCTCGTGACGCGTTTAAATCCTCTCCTTCAACGTGTTACGTGCACCAACCCCACCTCATTCTTCCTTCTGCACCATCACTAGTAGGAGTAGGAATAGTAGTAGCCTTCCTTCTTCCCTCGTTTTCTCGGTAATTAGTTACGGTCCTGAAATCCTCATAGCCTGCCTATTGCGTCCTATCCAAGTGACAAAGAGAGAGAGAGAGAGAGAGAGAGAGAGAGATCGAAAACAAGAACATCATACATACATGCTACCGAAAAGCCAAAAGAATAACAAAGAGAGACAAAAGATACGTAGCAAAAGAAAGAAAATATGTACAGGGCTCTCGTTTCTACGCGTATATATATATATATATACATATATGTACGGCACTGTCGCAAGACCACCTACGACAAATGTCGCAGACTGCAAATAATACTGAGCCCCACGTTGTACCACCAACGACAGGAAAGATAGAGGCCTCTGACTGCCAGCTTCGTATCGTTGTTTAGTGCCTCTGATTACTACTTCCTTTTTTTTTGTACGACAGTTTGTGGTGGGGTAGTTTTGCTTCTTTATTTCTTTCGTTTGTGACTCTCTTACATAGAACTCCTAAGAAAGTTAAGGTAGAGTTAAGGTAGAGTTAAGGTAGAAAGAGAGAGAGAGAGAGAGAGAGAGAGGAAGAAATATATATATAGAGGTACCTTCCGAATGCGTACGATTCGCCAATGGGATGATAGAGCCCCCTAAACGACCGATCCCTGAACCTCAGTATCTCACTATAATGGTGTACCGTGGAAGGCCCTACAGATAACGTCTCGGCTACGTGGAAAGATTTAATGTATACCAAGGCTCCGTAAGAACGTTCACAATAAAGATTGGGAGTTATTGGTAATGGTGGACCTCTGTAGACTCGTTTATTCCATTCTTATATACGTCAATTATTGCATCATCATTTTCATAGATGGGTCTTTTGTCGATTAGTATTCGTTGCTCGATGCAGTCATATTTTGAAGATATTTAAGCGTTTTTAAATAAAACGCGCGCGCGGGTAATTATATTTATCGTAATTTTTCAATATATAAAATACGGACTACGATTTCATTAAAAGTGAAAGAAAGAATTTTTTACAATTTTGTACATTTATTTAAGAAATATATAAAATGAGATTGCTCTCGTTAGGTCGTGATGTTGCTTGAATTGCAACTGCTTGAATTGCAACTGCTTGAATTGCAACTAATTGTATTGCCAACTATAATCCAGATCCTTAATTAATCCCTAAAATGATTCCTAATTAAAATATGAGAATATTTCGAGCGTACAATATATCGGAAAAACGAAAATATAAAATAATAGAGTTGTAAAGAAAATAAGAGTAAATAAAAAACAATCGTCTAGTAAGTACGAGCAACGAACTAAATTAGTATACACATTGGAAGTGCGTAAGTGAACTCAAGTCGAGCAAGGTTTGAACTCGGCGAAAGGAAAGTCTTATATTTTCATCGTTCATCTATAGATATACATGCATATCTACATACGTACAATAATGCATATGCATATAATATATCTATATATTCTTCTCTCGATACATACTGTGTTCTCATCCACCTTGCTGTTCTTCTGTCTCTACCTCCCCTCCCCACCCCTCCCCCACCCCTTTCTCTCTCTCTCTCTCTCTCTGTTCTGTGCTTATTATGTCTATCCGTCTATCTCTTTCTTTCTATCTTATTCGTTTACTCCCTTTCTTTCTCTTCGTCTTTCTCATCGTCTCTATCGACCGGCTAGCGAACAATAGCACACCTCGACTACACGGTGGATGAACTTCTGAGGCTGGAATCGGCTCTGCCCACTCTGTGAATTTCGTTTCCGTAAAAATGGCCGTAAGAGAAAAGAGGTCGGCCAGATCTAAAAGGCAACCTACATCCTGTATAGCCGTGGCAAACTATAGGTCTTCGATAGTACATCGCTTAATCTTGATAATATGCACCAGATTTAGAAAGTTCTTGGAGAGAATTTTCTTTACTTTGCTTGGTCCCCAGAGGGAGGATTTGCTATATTCTTTTGTTTATCTTTTATTTTTCTCTTTTTCTTTTTTTCAAATTATTTTCTTCGTTTTCATTATTATGATGATAATAATGGGGGCACGATCTCGGTGGGAAATAAAATAATAGTATTTTTGCTTTTGATTCTTTTTAATGCGTTTAATATTATTATGTAAGTATATAGAATGTAGTAGAATGTATATAGAATTTGGGTTTGGTGATTGTCAGTAGCAGAGATAGTTTTGTTTTCTTAATTGTCGCTTGCTTAACTAATCAAATCTACTAGCTATGATGACAAAACATTGAAATATGATCGTATAGATATGTCTGATTTAGGTTGCGGCGAATAAGTTTTAATTATGACTATGTATGTTTTAATTATATTTAACGTAGCGTTTTTTCACACTTTTTTTTTTCTTTATTACATAAAAGTGTTTAATTGCGTGTCACATCTAAAAATTATATTTCGAAAGACTCTGTACATGTAAGTATTTACATATAAGTTTATAACGTTATATATGATATATGAAATATTTTCATCTATAAGTAATTGATTAAAATAAAAGTTTTCTTTCTGCGCACAGATAAATATCCCGAAAAAATGATTGAGAAGTATTTTTATTTTCTATACACCCTATATACGTATCCAACGAGTGCTTCGAATAATATCGTATTACGAGAGCGAAGAAGAACCTGTAACACGAACGACGATAATTCGTATCGATCGTTGCACTTAGCGATGCACAATGCAGGTAGGTATGTATGATATATATATCGAGAAGGACATCTCAAAGAAGGCTTCAATCTACGTCGATCGAATAGAAATGAACGTCCGAGCGTGATTATATACGTCTACGATCATTTAGATCATATTATTC